GATTACTGATTAAATCAGACTATATGACGAAGATATTGTGTTGACTGAGAATTATAAATTAATAAATGAAAGGTATATATGAAAATTATGTTGTATGATTGTGCTTTTAGGTTGATTTGAAATTTAGAAAAGTTTGAATGAAAATAATTAAGTTTGTAAAATTAGTTTTGATTTTGTGTATCTGAAAATGTTCCATAACAAAATAAAATAAAAAAATATTAATATTGAAATTTATTTTATATCGATTAAAAATAACAAGGTTTAATACCTATTTTGGTCCCTCGATTTGTAGGGTATGTTCAAAGTTGTCTTTCTTTTTTTCAAAAGTTCATTAACATCTTATATTTTGCAAAAACGGTTCATTTTAGTCCTTTTTGCTTACGGCGTTAAAAAGGCTAACGGTAGACTTGCCCCGCTGGCAAAATCTTGATGAATTCTACATTTGAGGTGTTAATTACATTTAGGGTTAAAATGATGTGGAATTTCCATCAACACCATCTTCTTCCTCGTGATTCAGACACAACAAAACCCAGAAAAATTTCTAATTTTTGAACTCCCAAATCGCATAGTNAGAAATTTAGAAAAGTTTGAATGAAAATAATTAAGTTTGTAAAATTAGTTTTGATTTTGTGTATCTGAAAATGTTCCATAACAAAATAAAATAAAAAAATATTAATATTGAAATTTATTTTATATCGATTAAAAATAACAAGGTTTAATACCTATTTTGGTCCCTCGATTTGTAGGGTATGTTCAAAGTTGTCTTTCTTTTTTTCAAAAGTTCATTAACATCTTATATTTTGCAAAAACGGTTCATTTTAGTCCTTTTTGCTTACGGCGTTAAAAAGGCTAACGGTAGACTTGCCCCGCTGGCAAAATCTTGATGAATTCTACATTTGAGGTGTTAATTACATTTAGGGTTAAAATGATGTGGAATTTCCATCAACACCATCTTCTTCCTCGTGATTCAGACACAACAAAACCCAGAAAAATTTCTAATTTTTGAACTCCCAAATCGCATAGTAGAGCAACCCATTTGCGTCACTGCCATGAACCCTAGCTCGCGAGCGCCGCCGCCATGAACCCTAGCTCACAAATGATATGTGTCAGCACTTGGAATGAGAGACATCCATATTTTGTCTCGAGGTTTGTCATTTTATTCTCTATAATGGCAATCTTAGCATCCATTTTTTAATGCGACCTTCATCTACCCTTTTCCTAAAATTTTGATCCCTTTCCTCCAAACTTTCCCTCTCAACAAATCCAGTAGATGGGAAAAGTTTGATGGAATCAAGAAGCGGTATAGGTAATAACATAGAAATCATTAAATGAAATGAAGAAAATGGTGGGTATTGTTTTTGTAAAGAATAAAATTATAGTGGAGAAACCCTTCTACAATAACCAACCACCAAGCTCTTACAAAGAACTACTGCCCCCACAAAAAATAAACATGTTTAATTTTCACCCAGAGGACTTTCTACTCTGCCTGCATTATCTAATAACTGCACCACACTTATGTAACTAACTTTGCCCCTATTTCCATCTCTCAGCCACTCACAATATCATTCTTTGTCCCTCAACCATTCAAGAAGATTCCTAAAGATATTAAGGATATGTGTGATGTAGGATACTGCACATATCATTAATTGCTCCCTAAGATCTCAACCGGTGAGATTTACTTTAACAGTAAGGGTAAGCAGACCCAGTCTACAAAGATTTTCCAGACAAGTAGCTGCAAGGTTGTGAGAACAGCTGCCACAACCTACAACACAGTGAAAACAGGAGAATAATGGGGGAATCAAGACATTAACTATAGGGAAAAACACAAGACCTTATTTCCTTGCTCTGTTAAAAAGTGAGAGCGAAATTAAACACAAAAATCCAAAAATAGAAACCCTAAATCACATCTTCTTCCTCGCGAATTCATCGTTCTTGCACAACCTGCCAATGCACGAAACCCATTCTCCTCGCAAGTGCTGCCATCAACCTGCATCCAAAATAGAACCAGAAACTTATTTACATCGTGAGGACCAAATTGTAGTGCCATGGAGTTCTCCTTTAAGCAGCAGTCGCGCCACCATTGTCAATACCTAAATCGCGCTTCCACGGCAATTCGTGTTAGAACCTCTAGTTCTCATGAGGACGCAGAGAAAGCCTTAGCCCATTCCGCAATTGTGAAACCCTAACTTTGGGTGAAAAGGGATCTGCCACATGGCATCTTCTCATTGGCCTCAAATGACCTCACAATATCACATCAACAATAATTGTACAAGTCATCAAGTTTTTGCCACGGGACAAGCTCACAACAATGGAGTTTTCCTTTGAAACTTCACTAATCACCGGTGCTGTCATCTTAATCACCTTCTTTTCCTTATTGTAACCATTAACATAACTGAATAGTCTGCCCAATTTGACATAATGTTAAAAAAACTCAAGGAGTTCAAACTAGTGAGACAATAATTACAGTTATAAATAGTGCTGATATATAAATGAAAAATTAAATCAATAAAAGAAAATAAAAGTACCTTGAAAAACCCTTTCTTGTAGCTGCAACTACCGAATCGTCTTGAATAGCGGAGGTAGAAATCCGACGGGAGAATTATAGCGACGAATTTCATAGTCCTTGCCCGCCCACTTCTGTGACATCATAAGTGGGACACTCGTACTTCTTGCATGTTTCGGGAATCTTTCCTTCAACATTCAGCAATGATGCTAAGATGAAGCTTGTGAGAACTAGGAATTGGGATCTGGTAGCAGCCATGATCAAAGAAATGACAAATGTTTAATCACCAACAAATTCGATTTAATATTCACACAAGTATCATAACCTACAAAGTTCACAAATATATGCACATGTTTGGACTCTCAACTATTAAATGAGTCTAATGCTTGAAAACAAATATTTATTACATAATAAATTATTTTATGGGGTAAGCAATTAATTCACTGTTTCTTTTAATATAATAAATAAAAAATTAATTTTAGTAGAAAGATATTAAAATTCTCTTCAAAGTTAATAGCATATTATTCTTAATTACTTTTAGTAAAATTACGTTTACATATTAAAAATTAAACACATGTTTAATTACTTTAATTATCAATTATTAATGGAAAAATTATAACTTTTTTGTACTAAAGATGTTTTTTTATATAGAATTAAAAGTAAAATATATTAATATTGTTATATTGAATCGATAAATATATATATATATATATATATATATATATATATATATATATATATATATATATATATTATCATGTTTAAATGAATTACATGAAAAAGTAACAAAAAAAAATCAAATATTTAAATGAATTAAACTTGTGCAAAATTCAAAAGGATTGATTATTTAAAAGAAAATGAGACCCTAAAGTATTATAATTTTACCATATTACATACAAAAGACACGCAGATATGTATACATGCACCCTGAAGAACATACATGTGCACTCAAACTAAAAAAAATGTTATTCTGTAGACGTTATTTTGTGAGTTTATAAAAACCATTCACAAATTAATATTATTTAAAATAATTAAAAGGAATTGATTGAATGATGATAATAATGGAGGTTTTGACGTTAGGGAGGTTTATTTTCTCTACAATTTAAAATACAATTTTTAGATTCTAGTTTCTTTTTTAGACTCAAAATTTTCCAAATTTGTACAACCTCTCACATTTTCTCCTTTCCCAAACAGAAATTTGGTGTTTTTTTCCCTAAAATTTTCTAAACGATCACATTCATCATCTTTTTTCTAAAATTTTCGCGCAAGATTTTTGTTTTTCCCCACAACTCAACTCGTGCTCAAATCATCATCGATGTCGTTGCGATTGTCGCTGCAATCATCGTTGCGTTCGTCATACATCGCGCTCGTCATCGCATTTAGTCGTCTTCTATCCTAATAGGGCCTTCAAGGTTAATTTAAATTCTTTCCTTTCAATGTTAAATAAATTCCCCTTTTAAATTCAGGGCCTTCAAGGTTACTTACTAAACTGATATAGAAAACATACTATTATTATTATTATTATTATTATTATTATTATTATTATTATTATTATTATTATTATTATTATTATTATTATTATTATTATTATTATTATTATGTATCTCAATAAAATATTTACTATTTATTTCTTTAATTTAAATCAAGATTTTAAATACAAAAATTGAATTTAAATTAAAGTTTAAATTAGATCGCAAATATAGGCTCATAACGCATCCATATGTCTTACTCCACCCGGATGAGTCCAAACAATAAAATGCAACAATTAATGATAACAAACTATCTTACTTATATTTCTATTTATGGAAATTGTAATTGGTTTTTACTTATTTATGACCTATGATCAAATCACACCTTAATTACAATTACCAATTATACAATCAAGCTCATTCTATACCCATGATAACAAATACAAATATTCTAAGTGTTATGAAATCATATTATACAAGTGAATATTTTGAAATTTGTTGGGATGGCCCAATGAATTTTCATGAGTTATCTTGCTTCATAGAAGATGGTCTAAAAAAACTCATATAATGCTATAACATTCTTTCTAGTACACCACCTTGTTTGATAAACCTTAAAGTGACTTATAAATTTAAGTCATAATATTAAGTGTTTTGTAAACAAAGTTAAAATTCAACTTATTGACTATGTATTATTCATGTTGACATTGCTATATATGTTCCTTCGTTCACAACGTCCTTATATAACATTATCGCCTTATGAGTGTTTTTTCAACAAAATTATGGTTTTTGTGCATCTAGTAACAGTACCAAATCTCGCAAAATATCTATTTTATCTAATTGTTGTAAATTTAACAAGACAAAATTAAAGTTTATGCATCCACAAATTTGTTATAAAAGTACCATCACACCGATATTCATTCATATAAGTATTTATACAATTGCAACATTCATCTATGACATGATTACTAAACTAAGATAACATGGAGATTTTTTCTAGTCTAGTTTATTCCACTCGATTGTCAGTATCATCACTCAGACAAGAACCATACCTCATTAACTCTATCGAACAATTTAAAAGGAGGATCATATTGTGCTATAATGAAACTTTTGCTAGAAGCAAACGAGGGTTTGGTTCCACCAAGACTAGCATTCAGGGAAGCAACTATCCTCCCAACGTTAGAATCTGTCAGAAACCCACCAAATTGTTTCACTGCTACAAATTTACTTTTCCATCTTTTAACACTGAGACCATCTGCCAGAGCTGGGTTCTTTTGGTTCTCTAATGCCACAAAGAAGCTCACAACAATGGAGGGCTTTCCTCCATTAAAAGAGACTTCACTCGTAACTGGTGCTGTCAACTTAATCTGCTTGTTCTCCTTGTTCTTACCATGGGCATAATTAAATAGCCTGAAAACTCAAATAAAATACCAATGGTTACCCAAGTTTATCACTGTTTTGATTTATTAGAATACATTTTAAGTGATCACAAATTTAGCCAATTAAACCAAATACACAATTCATATGTTTATTTGAATTAATTTGATAAAACAATTACTATCGAATATTACTTAAAAAAAGTACTTGGTAAGTAATATCTAAATATATGACCTACAAAACCCTAAAATGATTATCCGTCAATAATTATAATAAAAATTATAAAAAGATCATCCCATACGCGTGTTTAAGAAAAAAAAAAGTTACAATAAATAGAAAA